CGAAGCTGTAGCTCTTTACGGGAGCAGAAAGCCTCATCTTTCTCCCATGGAACAGCTGGTAGTTTCGAACTGCTGACCTTGAGGTTCGCAGCCCGATTTGTAACCACTACGCTACCAGAGCTCCTTACGACATGGACTAGGCTCATGTAAAACAAGTCCCTAACTCATTCTTTTACAGTCTCTCTCAGCTCCCTGTCTCCTCCTCTGCCCTTTTCCCTGCTCACCACCCCTCCCCCTGCCATGCTAAACTGTGAAAGGATCCCAATAACCTTTCATCTTGGAGTCTGACTACTGTTGTCACGGCGATTCTGACAAACATGAACCTTGTAGGACACAGCAGAATGGGTTTCCAAGGCTGTAAATATAGAAGCAGACTGTCATCCACATTTTTCACCCATGGAGTGGGGGGTGGGTTTGAACTGCCAACTCTTAGGTTAGTTCTTAACCACTGTGCCACCAGGACTCCTTATCATGGAGATCAGTCTGATCTTTTCCTTTTATAGAAAAGGCTACTGAGGCCCAGAGAGGGCACAGTCCCTTGCCCAAGGTCCCATGTTGTTGTTATGTGCCGTGGAGTCCCATAGCAAGGAGGAATTAGGATTCAAGGTTTGAATGGCAGACCAGGCTCTAACCCAGTTCTCCACCAAAGGCATCTTTTTAGGCCTGTTGGGACTTCCAAGAAGGAGGACTTGAGTATTTCCCACTCTGCCCCAAGCTTAACTCCCACAGTGCTACCTGAACACATCGTGTCGTCACTGAGTTTACTGCTCAAGTCTTCTCAACCTAACCTTGGACATTATAGCTGTGGTCAGCTGCTGGTGTGTTGTTTCTCAGCTCTTGGGAACCCCAAACACCACGGGTTGGAATACTGCCCAGTCCTGCATCAACCCCACCATCACTTGCGGATGGGAGGACCATTGTGCTCCACAGGGTTTTCATTGGCTGCTTTTGAAAGTAGATCGCCAAGCCTTTCCTTCTAGACTTAGCATGAAGCTCTGCTGAATCCTGGTCATTGTCATAGCAACACTCAAGCATCAGGCTGCACTGACTGGGAATCCAGTCAGAGCCTCTCCTATGGAAGCCTAGAATTCTACGACTGAACTCTTACCAAGATACCTAACCAGTTACTGTTCAATTCATTCCAACTCAGGACAACCCCATGTGTTGCAGAGTAGAACTGCATTCATAGGGTTGTTGTGTTGTTAGGTGCCTTTGAGTCAGTTCTGATTCACAGCAAGCCTGTGTACAGTAGAACAAAATACTGCTTGGTCCAGCCCCGTACGTATGCATAATTGCTATTATGTATGTGTTCATGGTTGCAGGTATTATCTTATTGAGGGTCTTCCTGTTTTTCTGTGACCCTCTGCTTTACCAAGCATGATGTCCTTCTACATGCACTGGTCCCTCCTAGCATGTCCAGGGTACGAAAGATAAAGTCTCACCATTCTCTCTTCTAAGGAGTGTTCTGGCAATACTTCTTCCAAGACAGATTTGTTTGTTCTTCTGGAATGGAAGTTCATGGTATAGTCAGTGTTCTTTGCCAACATCAGAATCCAAAAGCGTCACTTCTTCGATGATCTTCCTTATTCATTTTCTAGGTTTCGCATGCATCTGAGGAGATTGAAAAGATCTTGGCTTGGTTTAGGTGCATTTTTGTCCTCAAAATGACACCTTTGTTCTTTAACACTTTAGAGGGGTCTTCTGCAGCAGATCTGCTCAGTGCAAGTCCTCCTTTGATTTTTTTGACTGCTGCTTTCACAAGCATTGATTGTGGATCCAAGCAAAATGAAGTCATTGACAATTTCAATCTTTTTTCCATTTATCATGGTGTTATTTATTGATCCACTTGTCTGGATTTTTGTTTTCTTTATATTGAGGTGGAATCCATTCTGAAGGCTGTGGTCTTTAATCTTCATCAGTAAGTTTAAGTCCTCTTCACTTGCAGCAAGGAAGGTGGTGTTATCTGCACATCTGAGGTTGCCTTTCTGCATTCCTGTTGCCGTGTTCTCCAGATGGTCCAGCTTCTCAGATGATTTCTTGGCATACAGATTGAGTAAATTTCATGAAAAAACTCTATCTTGGTGCACACTCTTCTTAATTTTAAACCATGCAATGTCCCATTTTTCTTCAAACAACTGCCTCTTGGTCTATGCACAGATTTCTCATGGGAACAATGCAGTGTTCTTCGAATCCCCATTCTGCATAATGTTAGTCATAGTTGGTTATGATTCACACAGTCGAATGCCTTTGCAGAGTCAATAAAACACAAGCAGTCATCTTTCTGGTATTGTCTGCTTTCAGCCAAGATCCATCTGACATGAACAATGATGGCCTTCATTCCACATCCTTTTCTGAATCCAGCTTGAATTTCGGACAGCTTTTTGTCAATGTGTTAGTTCAACCATTTTTTTTCTGTTGTTATTGTGCATATCAGTAATTTCTCTTTTTTTTTTTAAATGCACTTTATTTTTTAAGAGCAGTATTAGGTTTACAGAAAAATGTGCAGAATCATAATTGTGCAATGAATAAATCATTGGTCTTGCAAAATTCTATCATGCAATGTCCAGCATCATTTCTATCATCAAGGCCATAGTTTCCAACTACTGATCCTTCCTCTTTGTTTGCATTCTTTGCATAGTAATCACTAGTTGTTGCTGTTGTTAAGTACCATGGAGTCGTCTCCGACTCATAGTGACACTGCACAGGGTTTCCGAGGCTGTAAATTTTTATTGGAGCAGAAAGCCTCATCTTTCTCCCGCGGAACAGTTGGTAGTATTGAACTGCCAACCTTGAGGTTTAGCAGCCCAATTCATAACCACTACACTACCAGAGCTCCTTCACTAGTAGCTATCAATATATCCTGATTGCACTTTTGATCAATTTCAGACTGAAGAAGTTGGTTTAGTTCTTCAATTTCATCATCATTGGCTTTTGTGGTTGATGAATTTGAATAATAGTGGTATTAACTGGTCTTCCTTTTAGGCATATGGATACTATCCTATCACAGAATTGTGATAGATCTTGAAATATTTTTGTTTTGTTTTAAATTTTGATTGTGAATTGAGTGGTAGTTTACATGGAGAACATCGGTTTTACATTCTTATCGTATTTTGTTTTATCGAAATGATTACCACCCCCTGCATGCATCATCATTCAACAGTATTTGCTTCTATTCCTGCTGTTTTTCTTTGGATATACACAAAAACACTCAGGCATATATAATCATTTACACAACAAAAGGCCACATTCTGCAAGCCTGCCTACTGGCTGTCAGCTCACAGCCTTGATTTTTCCATGAGTCTACAGTTCTCAGCTGCTCTCTCTCTCTCCATGTCATCATCTCTGCCTCCATTTCTGGTGTTGCTGCTTCTCTGGATAGGGTCCCACATTCTGCTC